AATTTATATCCCGCCCCACCCCGAAGGCTCAGGGCGGCTCACAAGGGCACCATGTGCCAAGGTTAAAACAACAATACATAATTAAAACACTATCCAAGATGGATAGCTCTTAACTTCCACTTTTATATTATATCATATTTATTATTTATATTTATTTGAATTTATATCCCGCCCCACCCCGAAGGCTCAGGGCGGCTCACAAGGGCACCATGTGCCAAGGTTAAAACAACAATACATAATTAAAACACTATCCAAGATGGATAGCTCTTAACTTCCACAACTACTTCCTCAGGTCTTGTCAACTAAAACCGTGCCCAGGCACCTCGCTCCCCTGATGGGGGCCAGGCAGTCATGATGTTCAAACACAGTGCATAGGGGACGAAGATGGAATAATGGTGACGGCGACTCCTACTCAAAGGCCTGGTGGAAGAGCTCCATCTTGCAGGCCCTGGGGAACTGAGAGAGGTCCCGCAGGGACAACCCTGCTAGATAAGCACCATGTTACACCAGGATCAGGGAGAATTCAACCACTAGAGTGACACAGAAGCTAACCGAGCCAACCCCCCTGTGCTGGTGGCAGCAGCTGGGTCTGACCTGAGAGCCTCCCCAGAGGGCAGCAGTAGCAGCAAGTAGTGAAGAGGCAAGGACACGGCGGCCAACTCCGGTTAGGCTTGGGGAGGGGAGGGGAGGGACCTCAGCGGGATACAATGCCACGCACCCTAACCCTCCAAAGCAGCCATTTTCTCCAGGGTCACAGATCTCTGCAGCCTGGAGGTCACTTGTAATACCAGGTGGCCTCCAGGCCCCACCTGGATACTGGCTGCCATACTCCTGTCATGCCGGTAGTGTCACCAAACATCACCGAGCTTGGCTTGCTTCGGACCACCAGTGGTGCTCCAGGAGAGTGGCCCACTAGGAACTTTCCTAGTAGCTTCAACACCCACTCCTGACCTTGATGGTGCCTGTTAATATATAAGGAAGCTAACAAGCAGAAGATGCTGCTGTGGGACTGGGAGTTAAACCATCACAGGGTTCCTAACAGCCCTCCACGTCTGCAGTCAAGTCCTTATGATGAAAATAACACATCAATAACAGCTCTTCAGGCAGGCAAAGTCCATCGAAATCTCTGCCTGTCCTAAGCACAGCAGCTGCTGCTGCACGGTAGCATCAAGCCAAGGTCACAGGCCGGAAAATGACCTAAGCAACACTTTCTGACCCAGAAGAGATCACCCCAGATTTTTGCTTGTTTTGTAATCTCATAATTCCTCAGCATCATCACCATCATAAAGCCTTGCTCACTTTTATCTCTTTATTTTCTGGCCATCCGGGATAGCTCACACGAGATGGATCAATGTGGAAAAGAGCAACGCAAGAGGTACGATTAGGACCCCTCCCTTATAGGGCACTCACAGAAGTATGGAGAGAAATAATTATGTATTCACACAACTTTATTCTTCTGCAACACAAGCACAGTTGTCCCCCACTACAGCTAGGATGGTTAACGTTTCATTTGAGGGGCAGAAGACCACCCTTTCACAGAGGTGTTGGTGCTGGTGATGATGCCACTGACGACTCCATCTAGGACATTTCAAGCATTCAGATGCTTCACATAGTGGAAGGAGGAGAGCTGGGGGGGTAGAAGAATAATGGCTTCCCTAAGGCCTCACATTTAGTGAGCGCATAACTGATGTGAGATTTGGGTTGAGTTATCTCCCAGCTCACATTCTTTGCCCATAGTCTAAACCAGCTCTGAGGACCCCAACCCCCCCCCAGCCCTATTTCAGGCTTATCAGGCATTCCT